TTCATTTCGATGGGAAAGTTGGTTGGAAGATATTCATGATGTGGTTTCACCGGAAATCGAAGGATGCTGGTTGCATAGAGAAGACTGTTGAATTGTGTGAAGAAGTCCTCGGCTCACCATCCTGCAACCCCGATCAAACTGTGCTAAGCTTTCGTCCGTACTGTGACATACATCATCAGAGCAAGATTCCATACCTTACGAAATGTAGCAAAAATATACTAAACCAAGTGAAGAAGGTGGCACTTCTGATTTGATTGAGTGCTTTAACCTTATTCTACATGCTTGTAAATGAGTGAAGTTAACTTCCCGAACCGGAAATGTGTTTGGGAGCAGCTGTTTCAACACACAAAAATTAGAGTACAATCGCCTAATTATGATTGTTCTTTGGGCTTATGCTATTTTATAACGTGTGTATGTAATGCCCATGTCATGGGGAGTGTGGTAGTCCGAACTAGACTCAAGGCTAATCCAATCTCTTAATCAGTGGCTCTTCCTGCACCCCCTCTCTCTCCCTTTCCTTAAGTCTATCTAACAGCCACAAAAGGTTCCTACTTAGTTTTCTACGCTCGTTTCTCTTATTCAGAAGGTTGGCTATTTTGTTAATTTCTATATACTCCCTAATCTTACACTTTGACGTGAAGTCCCCGTAATCCGTAAAACGTTGTGTTTTGAACCAATCTATTTTTTGTGTGTGTGTGATGAGCCGAAGACTTCTTCTCCCAATTCAATAGTCTTCCTTAACCGACAATCCTCAGGTTTCCGGTGTGACCACATCTCGAATTCCTTCCAAGCAACTCTTCTTTCGAAATGTAAAGTCATGCCACAAGATTAGCTATTCTATTCAATTGAATATAGCCTATTTCTATTTAACCAAGCACGTTTCATTACTTAACTCTTTTAATGTATCTCTTTCTGTTCTTTTTATCTTTATTACTCCATATATTTCTCTCATTAAAACACTGTTTATTTCTGTTTATCTTAGCCTTTTTATTTTTTTTCAGCTCTAACTTTAAGGTTATCTGTCTCTATTTTTGGCATAAGTATGCCTCAAGCTACTGTAATTCTTTATTAAGAACTTAGTGGTAATATAGTCACGATACTTACGTAAGACCTGCACATCTCACTGTGGTAAAACTCTATTGTCTGTCCTTAACTCACCTTAAGCGACCTAGGGTGACAAGTTATTATCTGCATGTAGGCCTATAGCACTATCATTCACCTATTCACGTTAACATTTCCTTGTCTAATATCAGCCTCAGCTTTTCTATGAATTTAATTTTATCTCCTATTTTTAAAGTGCATATATTAAGACAAGAATTGCATTCTTCAGTCTTCTCTGCCTTTATCAGCACCCCAGTGGGATTACAACTTAGCAAATATCTTACCTTTTTACTACTTTTCCTTGTCTAAGTTTGATTACTAGCCGAATGCTTTTTTTTAAGCAAGACCAACCTCTCTTAACCCTCAGTCACTGGTCCGTTTAATTCAAACTTGATACATCAATAAATGACATGAATAATCGATGAAATTCGTTGACAGTCGTTAACATGGGTGATTTTATCACAGACATCCTGCAACACCTTGGAAGAAATGATGAATCTTAGCGGTATATAATTCATTATATTCTTATATCAGTCTGTGTCCTACTTGCTTATTTGTTGATCTGTCTCTCTACAATCTGCCCATGCGTCTGTCTATCGCCTTAGTATCTCGGCCTGTCAGATAATATTTCATTTAGATATCCTGTCGATCTGTGTTTATCTCCTTCTATTTGTGTATCTATTTTTGCCTTTGTATTTACGCTTGTTTGTTTTTCTGTCTGCCTGTATACTTGGTTTTTATCAAACTGTTCTTCTCTCATGCTCAACATTCATTCCCAATAGGCTTGCTCATTACCTTTTCGATTCTCTATTGGCATTTACAACGATGTCATAGACTTTAGTTTGTTAGCTTACTCATTATACAAACCAATTACCTTTCTATCCTATTTCCCCTCATTCACCCTTTACCCTATAGCAACTCACTTTATGTGACTCTGGACGTATCTGTTTAGAATGTCGACTGTAAAATGCTTATAAGCAGACGGGATATTGTATATGTTTTGTTTGGAGCGTCCATCAGTTCTTAACTTTCCTCATACTCTCTATATACATATATTCACTTATTTCACATATTTTGGTTATCCTACCTCGAAGTATTCTGCCCCTACTCTATTATTCGCTTTATCGATGCTATTTTATCTGTCTTGTATTCCCTTCATCGTACAAATTTGACAAATTGTCCTACCATTTGAACGCTCTCTTTTACTTCTACTAATGGATTTTACCCTTTTAACCCAGCACTAAAGAGCGTTAATTGATTCCTCTTCAATGAAATAATGGGAACTTCCTTCGCTCAACTTGTATTATATTTCAAACACATCTTCATCGTGAAACCAATTTTCTAATGTAATCAATTTATTTTTGTTTTTTCAGAATACGTTCAAACTTTTTAGAATATCTTAAGGCGCTCATTTTCTACGCTTTATCTTGTATTTTATCCCCTTGAATTTTAAATTACAAAATCAGGTGATCTGTGCTCCTTTCTTACCTGATGGCAGTGGACCTGATTTTAGTCGCCAGATCCCTATTACTGATGCACTATCTAGCGAGTCGGTCGAACAGACTAGTTCTACTGCTGGTTCAGGCGCTTCAACTTTAGCCCCCTTATCTAACTCTCTTCTTCCATCTTCAAGAACAATTGGTCCTCTCTCCGCAGCACCTGCGGTGCTAACTCAGGCGGCTAAACTTGGGTCTACCGAAAGCAACCAACTGCCTGCTTCATACCTTTCTGAATCACAATCTCGTCCAGTCACTCTTGACTTAGCGATATCTGCTGACAGGTTACCGGATAGGTGTACTAATTCTGAGTCGATACCTGCCACTATTGAGCCTCCTGGACTTATAGACGGCGAAAATAAAGTAGCTGATAGACGAACAAATTTGCATTTTGATCAACGTACTAGAAACGATTCATCTGCATCAGAATCCTTATCTCGGACGGGGCTAAATTGTCGAGAAGATCCTCCGTTATTCTCTCTGGTTGGTGCAATGGCAACGAGTACCAGCAAAAACTGGGCCTGCACGCCTAAGGAGGATTGTAATGATTACGACACACTTGAGCCAGTCGGAGCCCAGACTGGACCCACGTGCATCTCTGCAGTTTCCCCTAGAATTGATCAAACTTGTACCGTCGGGCAGCCATGTAAGCATTTTTTATACATTTTATTCGTTTGAACATGATTGGCATGATTAGATGGTGCGGAAATATGTATACATATTTTAATCACATTATATTTTAATTAAATGGGTTTGACCACAAATGTTTTGGTTCTACTTTTTTTTTGATTAGTCTCACTGTAGAACTAAAAAATTGTGGGTTGGCATACAAGAGATTAAGGAATAGGAAGTCATAGACTTGACAGTATGAATAGAAGTACGATAGATGCGGCAGACGTTGATTCATCAACGTCTTTTATTCTACATTTGTTCCAAAACTTTTCCATTATTTAGCTAGAAAATTTTTGTATTTATAAATTTGAATATAGCTTAAACCCATATTTTGAAGTTGCACCTACGAATACCAGCAAAAACGGGGCCTACACGGCTAAGTGATCGTAGTCAGGCTAAATGAAATAGAGTAGAAACTCAATGGTAGTTAGACTCTCAGTTGGCGTTAATTGTGCTTTCGGACACGAGTATCTTAATGCCTGACAGAGATATCCCTGTAAAGAAATTTATGATATACTTATTACAATAATATTTATCTCGCCTAATGCACTTCATGTTCCCGTGATATTGTACTTTGGCTCGTCTTATTTAACTTTATTTTTTTTACTGATTTTAACACCATTGGATTACCATATGTTTTTTAACTAATCTTTAATTTTTTATATTTATCACAATCCGATGCCTATACTCTTTCATTACCTTTGTTTTTCGGCTTAGTAACCCGTTATATGTATCAGTTTGGACAGTCTGAGTACCACGATCCTGCCTTCGACAGACGACTCTCCAACAACTTGATAGACTTCTTCCGCTCTCAGTGGCATAGACATGAACACATAGAGGGGCCGCAAGAACGCTCAAAGACCATTGCTTTGGTGCAGCACTCTGCCCAGCAAATGCCAACCGGTGCTGTAATACACAGAGCCACCTGTGTACAGCAAACCTGCACCGTCCGCTTGGTAGGACACTGCTTTATTTTTTACAAATCATGCGCTTTTTATCCTTTAATGGGCGTTCATATTTAAGATGGCATATTTAAAAGCTGAACTTATTAACTTAATTAAATTGATGATTTTACTTTAATTTCACAGATATTAGCGATAATTGAATTTGTAAGTAAATATTTGGTGATTATGGTGAAACTATTTATACAAATATTATATTTATTTTAGAGCATCTATTAAAGTTTGACCTAATTTTCTTTTGCTACTTTTATTTAACCCTAAATTATAATTGAATTCGTTTTGTCAATCGACTTTACTGTAACCCGAAGGAGGATTGCATTTAAAATGCGTCATTGTTCTTGTAAGTAAGCTTGTGGATAGAATGACAGTTAAGCAGAGCAAATCACTGAGTAAGAAGAGGGTGCTTAATTAGCCTTGAGTCGGGTATGGCCATAACGCCCTAATCAGCTCATGAATATTGCATGTAGATAATGCACGTGAAACATCACATCACATCAACATTGTAGGATCAACCACAAATCGTTTCCCCAAGGAAACAACTGCCGGGCCACCTATATCCACTACACCGACCAACTCCATTTAATCGCATTTATGGTAAGCATGATGCAGCCAACCAATTTATGGTATGTCTCATCAAGATTACCGTGATGAACCGTGTTTAAAGGATGTTTTCATCCTTTGATACTTTAGTCACATCACCGATCATAGCCCATCATACATTCATTAAGCTCGCTGCCCTTATCATCGAAGCCTTTGCTCAAGTCAGCAGTCAGCTCCTCCGGTTTCTAGTAAGGCTGAGTTACTTCTTCCTTCTCAGCTCTTTAAAATAATTGTTAGGTCTTATGATACCCAATAATCTAGGCATTTTCCGAAACCCAGCTTTTCCCCATGTGCATTATTTTATGCCGTTTTGATAATCGAATCATGTTTGACTCTTTAAAATGGCTTTAGGATTCTCTCTGGCTGCGCATATATTGTCGCGTGGTAATTGTTTCACCATCATATCTTGAACTAAGGCCTTCAATTGATTTTCTGCTATCAAATTTACAGTTTGTTTCATGCAGAAGATTGGCACAATCTATTGCTCTATTTTTCTATTTTTCTATTATTATATTAGAGTGATCGTTGGAATTTCTTTATCATTTTGGTCAATTACGTTGAACTCGATTGCTTTTAAATTCTTGTTGACACGCTACCCCGATTTAACTTTCTTTGGACCGGTATGCTTTTACCAGTCTCAGCAATTTAATTCATATTTTTCTTGAATCATATACGCGTAGCTGCAGTAATTTTTTATGATTGCTTACATGAAATGGCGAATTCTTTAATGGATGAAACAATTGGTGTATCCTGTTTACGGTTGACAATTCTCCATTTATTTATAGTAGTTCCAGAGCTGCTGTTTCCAGTGTGAATGCTTGCTAAGTATTTTTTTTACCATTGAGTTTGCCTAGTTTCTTTATAACCTCATTTTAACTTTATCCTATATCTTGCCAAAGAGATAGCAACAGATTCGGCCAAATTTGTTATATAATTCTGCAATACTAAATGAAAGGGGTAAATGGGATCTAGCTTTGCGCCTTGGATAATGACTTACTTTTATTAATCATGTCACAATACAGTTTACAGGAAAAGTCAGGATTTTGCTTCATTTTATTATGTGCTGGTTAAATATAGATCATCCAATCACGACAAAGCTAAGGCACGTTTGAGTAATAAGCAAGATTCTTTGCTAGTTTAGGCCAAATTTGATACTATTCCATAGTACAGATTGTAAACTTTTGAAACTAGATAGCTGAAGCTATCATATACTGGATAACTGAGCTGGGCATGACTGAACAAGGAAACTTCACTTGCCGACTAATTTGGCTTAGCTTTATTCCCAAGAGCATTCATCCAAAATGCTCTGTTGTTTATAGCTGATATAGGCCAGTAACACGTTTCTTCTACGCTACCTTGCGCGAGTGCCGGAAAACGTGTGACCTTCAATACAATTCGAGCTCTTTATTTTCACAGGTTTAGCTGTATCTCGCAAATAATAGCTCATATTAGTCTTTAAACATGCTTGATTTTAAAACATAGCATGCCTTTTGTCATTATGCAACACCGATTATGTGGCTGATTGACAACAATTTCTCATTTAATCTACATTAACTAGTCTTTACTTCAGCAATACTGGTGGAACATAACTATCGTCAAACTTACCATTCTACCTGGATGAGAAAAGACTCTTGATAAACGGCATAATGCTATTCATTTGTAGCATCAAAGTCGTGCCAGGCATCAATGCATCTAAAGGCAATATGCTAATAGCAAAAACCATCCAAAGATTATAAATAATTTAATCCATAAACA